TTTTTAGGCATCTCTTGATATTTTTAAGGCCAGTGTAAATCAATATGACAATTCTTTGGAACAGACTGTCCTTAAATTTGATTATTCAACATGAAGATTGGAAACAGTCATTGAAAAACAACTTCTTCCAATATACCGTAGCTTTTATAGCAAAGAGTGAGAAGTTCTTTTTAGTCCCAGTTCAAACAGTTCTGTGGATATGTGCCCTTTGAATAAGCTGCCTACACTGCGGCAGTCAAATAGGAGAAGACAGAATGCAATAAAAGGTTGAATCGCATGTGTTAGTTAACTGTATCATTAAGGGTTGTACTTTTGTCAATATGCTATGTTCTGATAAAACCATATGATTAATGTCAAGGTATCATATAGTTCATGTATTTATGAAATTATATATTTGTTGGGAGTGCTAAATTCAAAACTAATATATACTTTTCTTACTTGACATTAAGATTAATTTTGTCACCAAGTACCTTCAATACTAAATAAAAAGAGATAAAATATTTGTTAAATGTTTAATAAGCATATTCACACAAGAGTTAAACCTTAATATGTAAATATTTGCATTTTAAAACATGCAATTTTATCTTTAGAAGCAAATAAGTCTTTGAATCCATGATCACAAAGTGTTTTTCTACTTGTTTGTCTCTAAATTTCCTTAATCTGTGTTTTGCAATTTTCAGTGCAAAAGTCTTGCTTCCTTACTTAGTTAAGCTTATTACTAAGTACTTCTCTCTTTTCAGTACCATTTATTTTAGTTAGAATTTAGAATGCCAACCAAAGTCTCATGTGTTGAAGATTTAGTAATAATGAAACAATGTTCAGAAATGGCACTTATGGGAAATGATGGAATCATGAGGAGATGGTGGAAACTACAGGGACAGGGGGCAGTTGTACCAAATGACTCATGGGTTGAAAGTTTGTTCCCCAGTGCAGCAATGGTCAGAGTTGTAGTGTTTGGGAAGTAATTGGCTCTTGAGAACTCTGGCCTTATCAGTTGGTTGTTAATAATTTGAACATATTATTGGGAGGTTGGAGGGCATGATCAAAATCAACAGGGCATGATTTTGAAGGGCATATCTTTTCCCCAGCCTCTCCCTCCTTCTTTGTACTCAGTTTCCCAGGCTGCCAGGAGAGGAACACCCTTCTGCCATGTTGTTCTGCTTTACCTCAGACCCAAAACAATGGAGTCTACTGATATTTGCCTATAACCTCTGAAACAATGAACCAAAATAAATCTTTCCTCCTTTAAATTGTTTTTTGTGTGGAATATTTTTAATCACACTGGTTAATCTATACCACCATCCCTAGTTCTTTATTTTATTCTTTTTAAGCTATATATGATAGTAGAGTAAGTTTTGACATATTTATGCAAACATGGAACATATCTTATTTAGATTCTCAGTCTTATGGTTATATATGATGTGAAGATTCGTCATGGTGTATTCACATATGTACATAGGAATGTTTGTCATGGCTATAAAAAGCTAACATACTGAAAATAAGATTATTTTCCTAATCTTCATTGTTTTGAAGAAATACAATTAATTTTCTGTATTTGTATCCTGGTATTTTACTTAATTTTTCGTTCAAACAGATGTTGTTCATTTTGTGGAGTATTCTGGGTTTTCTATATATAATGTCATGGCATTTACAAACATTGACTTCTATTCTGATTTGGATGTCTTTTATTTCTTTTACTTGCCTAATGGCTTTAGCTAAAGTTACATTGAGGAGGTAATTATGTTGAAGAGAAAAGGTGAAAGTAGGCATCTTTGAGTTGTTCCCTTCTTAGTAGAAAAACTTTCCACAAATATGATGCTATCTGTGGATTATAATAAAATGTCCATATGACATATCTTCTCTACAGAGTCAGTAAAATATCTATCAAAATAAAATGATATTTTTTACATAAATAGAAAGCAACAATTGTAAAATAGATTCAAAACCACAAAAGACCCTAAATAGTCAGAACATCTTTAAAAAGGAGAGCAAAGCTAGATATATTTCACTTCCTGATTTCAAAATATATTGCAAAACTCTGCTAATTAAATAGTATGGTTTTCACATAGAAAACATAGACCAAAGGAACATAGTCATGATCTCAGAAATAGAGCCCCATGTATGTGGCCAATTAATCTTTATCAAGGAGAAACAAAAGACAAAATTGTGAAAAATACCATCTCTTCACAAATGATGCTGGAAAAAAAAGAACATCTGCATCCAAAAGAGTAAAATCAGACTCTTACCATATCCATACATAAATAAACAGTCATATTTAGATTTGAAACTGTAAATCTCTTAAGAGAAAACACAGGGGAGAATCTTGGTATTAGTTTTGTTAATGACTTCTTGATTATAACACAAAAAATGGATATGACAATACAGATTGTAATAATAAAAATAGGTAAATGAGGCAATGTCACATTAAAATAGTTTAATTCAGAAAAGGAAACAATAAAAATGAAAATGCAGTCTAGGAATGGGAAAAGTCTTTGTAACCAATATGTCTAATATGACATATTGTTTATTTCCAAAACACATGATGTATGCCTGAAACTCAATAGTAAAGCAACATGTAGGCTTATTAAAAATGGGCAAATGACAGTTCACAATAGCTAAACTACAGAGCCCAATGAGATACCCATTGACAGATGAGTGGATAAAGAAAATGTGCCATATATACACAATGGAATAGTAGTCAGTCATAAGGAGTAACTTTCTGACTTTTGCTAGAAAATGGATAGAGGATATAATGCTAAGTGTCATTAGCCAAACCCCCCAAAACAAAAAAGCGAATAGAAGGTAATCCACAATAGTGGAGTGGCGGGGGGTGGGGGATAGAAGTTCAGAGGATGAGATAAAGGGAATGAGGAAGGGAGAGGGGATAGACATAGGAAAGACAGTGGAAAGAATCTGACATAAGTTTCTTATGTACATATATGAATATAGGTCAGTGAATCTCAAGTTTGTATACATCCATAAGACTGGAGTCCTAATTAGAATAAGATATATTCCTTGTTTCTATAATTGTATCAAAAGGGACCCTACTGTCATGTATAACTTTAAAGAACCAATAAAAAATGGGCAAATATCTTCAACATTTTTTCAAAGATTACATATAAATAGACAAACTGGATATAAAATGATGCTCAAGGTCACAATCACCAGGGAAGTGCACATCTAATCAACAATAGGATATCAGCTCACATTTGTTAGAATGTCTAAATAAAAAAAAAAAAAAAAGTTCTGGTGAAGATGTGTAGAAATTAGAACTCCTTTATACCCTGATGGTAGTAATGCAGAATGGTGCTGTCAACCCAGATTATAGGAGGAAGGCTCTTCAAAAATAGAACTATTATATGATACAGCACTCCAACTTTGGACATTTATCCAAAGGAATTTAAAATAGATTCTCAAAGATATTATCCCCCCCATGTCCATTAAGGCACTATTCACAAAAGCCAAAATGTAGAAATAATATATAAGTCAACAGACAGACTAGTGAATAGAGTTAATAGAAAAATACCATTCATACACATAATGAAATATTATTCAGGTTTTAACCACAGGAAATCCTGCAATTTGTGACAGTATGAATAAACATGAAAGATGCTAGGGGAAGTGATATAAGCTAGTCAAGTAAGCACAAATATTCCATGATTACAATTAAATGAGCCTTCTAAAATAGGCTCATCTGACCAAAGAACAGTGTTGTGATTGTCATTCAATGCAGGGAGGAAATGGGCAGTTATTAATCAAGGCTTATAACTTCTAGAGATCTGCAGTTTAATATTGTGCTTTAAAAATGCTGTATTTCACACTTTAAATTTTGTTTAGGCTGAATTTCATGTTAGATGTTCTTAACATAATTTTAAAAAAGAAAACTGCATATATTAATGAGATGTAACTTAATTTTACTATCAGGCCATATCCAATGAATGATTTTCAGACAAAAATTATTTTCATTGAAGAAATACGTTTATCAGTCTACAGTCTAATGTTATCCTTCTATACTGCTGAAATAATGTTAATTTATTCTTGGATGAAATACTTTATCAAATTGCATTTGAATTCAAACTTTGTTATTTATGTTATTCTTTTGGATTTGCAACCCAGTGCTTTGATGAATACATTTTTAACTTATCAGTAGGAATTTTTTAAAAAATATGATCACTACACTTTTATAATTGTTCATAAATGGTTTTGATGAAAGTCCTAGTCAATATTTATTATTAGAAAAATCCTTAACAAAGTCTTGATATTGATGATTATCAGACAACTTTATAGAAATCAATAGATTTACTATTTCTGACTACAGAAGATAAACTTTTAAAACTATTAGTACTTTATAAATACTACCTTATATGGCCAAAGTATGTACTTTCTCATTCTTCAACTTGATCATCAATTTAATTTTAATTTTAATAGATATTATATTTGTGACTATTATAAAGTTATGTCAAATAATTTCAAGAAGTTGATGAGGAATATATGGTAAACAAACATATAAATGCATAATTATCTTTGTCATGGCTTATGTATTGCACTAAATGGTTATACACTTATAATATTACTTTTCTTCTCTTCTTGATTTTTCTGTTTAATTCTCACATTCCTAAACTTTTATATTTGAACTTTACATGCTATATGAGGGGAAAAATAAATTGGAATTGCACTAATAGCTTACTAAATTGATTTTTGTTCAATATGAAACTGGAAACTTAACTACTCTATTTTTCTGTCACTTAAAGATAGACAGCAAATAAGATATTGTATGTTAAGGTATACAGGTTCTTTTCATGTATATTATTTTCCATATATCTTAAAGTTCATATAAACCTAGTATTTAATTACTAATTAGTAAACTAATATTTTAAATTCTGAAAATGATTTGTTTATTTCCTAGTTTAACATTTATTTGAATGCAAAATTTAAATTTTATAATATTTTCTTATAAGATGACTTTATGAACATTACTTTTAATATGAAATATTTTCCAGAGCACTATCAACTATATGTTCCAGAATCAGCTCAAGTTGGCTCAGCTGTTGGGAAAATCAAGGCAAATGATGCTGATACTGGCTCCAATGCTGACATGACCTACTCCATTGTGAATGGTGACGGTGTTGGGGTATTCTCCATCTCCACTGACAAAGACACCAGAGAAGGAATCCTCTCCTTAAAGAAGGTAAAATAACATACATGTCGTGATTCACACAAATAACTAATATTTCAAAGAATGGAAATTTGCTAGAGGTATGAATAAGCCATGTATTTTCTCTTTGTAATATTACTACATTTTAATTATGGTAGTGTCAGAAGCTTTGGATCCTCTCTCAGAAAGCATACTTTGATAAAACAAGAAGTCTGATGCAGAGTATACCTGGACCGTGTCTCTCCTTACCTTTGCTGTGTTTCTCATTGCTCAAGTCTACCTGAATTGTCCCAGTGATACCAATCAAAAAATAAGTATAATTCATTTCAACTAAATATAAAGGGTTAAAAATGTCCTCAAAATAAAGCCATGATGATTCTGTAATAACAAAAATGGGCAGCTTCCATAGCATTCATGTATCAGTTAAAAAAAAAAAAAACGTAACTGTAAATAATCTTAGAAGTAAAACTAAGAATTTATCAAAATATTTGAGTGAAATACATAAATAATATAAACACTCGTAGAAATCTTATTTTAAAAATGATACCTTGTTCTGATCTTAAAAATTCAGATGTAATTTCAAGGACAATAATAACTTTTATTTTCTGAATCAACTAATGTGTGTGATAGGACAGGAAAAGGAGTGTGCTAACTTACATGCCACACAGAATACTTTGTATGAAATTTGGAGATACAAACCCACTGGATTACTTTAAAACTTAATATTTTTATTAATGCTGTTAATGTTCAATAGAAAACTACTTGAAAACTTGAATGGCAAAATACATACCTGAATGATATTTAGCTTTTAAATGTCTTTGGCATTCAATTGTGAGATCCTTTCCCCATCAATGTTTAGCTTTTCCAGTGTCTACCAGGTTTTGGTGCCTTTTATTTTTTCCACCATTTATCTTTTACTTTTGACATATAGAATATTTGCCTTTATTCTGTTTCTTCTCCTCTATCTCATTCTATTTCCAAATACTGTAAATTCTTGATATATAACTATTTGTCCTTCTGTTTGTTTTCTCTTATTAATTTTTTTTTTCCAAAATGCCGCATAAATTAATGAGAAGATCTCTAACTCATCTATTTTTTTTTGTTTTCAAATAATACATATTTGTGTAAAATATTTTATAACTTTCAGATAAAAGCTTTATCATGAATGCTAGCTCTGTTAACACCATTCCTCATAAAGAGGATTTTCTGATTAATACAAAACTACTGTTTGCTAACACCCATTAAAGACACAGCCTTCTGCTTGATTTTCATGGAGTCATGAAGTCTGTGTCAGTGAAACCATTAACTTTATCCTCCAGTCTTATTTTGTTTCTAAGAATCTGGCATTTAGAACAAAACTACTACTTTTTGCTTTTAAGAGTACATAAGTCTCTTCTCTTTATAACCTTAACAGTGGAATATACACAATTTGAAGAAAAAAATTTCAAGTGTATTTCCTATTGCCTTGTGTTCCTCTCTTCATGTATAGTCAGATCTTATTTTTGCAATACAGGAAAATTGAGATCCCTAGTTTGTGTGTGTGTGTTTCTGTCTGTCTGTCTGTCTGTCTGTCTCTCCTCTCTCTCTCTTTTCCTCTCTCTCCCTCTTAATTTTCTTCAGTAGGGCTGCAATATTCAGCATTTTAATAAGTACTTCAAGTGATGCTATTGTAGACTGTGTTCGAACACCAGTTGATAAATTGGTACCATAAAGTTATTTGTATTGTGTTAAATCTTTTCAATACTTCTCCTAGTGATTATATTGTTATATTGACTTAAGATTGAACCTTGACTAGTGGTGGAAAAAGAATAAGAAGCAAGATTATGGGAAGAAAAAGAAGGAAAACATACCACCTCCTATGGGAAGCTTTGCAGTAAATGACAGGGAGAGGTTTTGAAGGCTGTAGATGGATTTGGTGGGACAAAGATTTTAATATTAAGAAGAGAGACTGAAAACAGACAACAGTGATGCCAACAGGAGAATAATTGATTTAAAAGGATGCCCTGGTGATAGAGGGCATCCTTTTAAATCAATTATTTAAATCAAGTTTTCAAGTAGTTTTCTATTGAACATTAACAGCATTAATAAAAACAGTAAATAGTAAATGGAATCTTGATCACAGGTGGATGAAAACAGCTCATTTATGACAGTTTCTTTCCTACACTGAGAGAACTGAGGGACAGGAAGAAGACGGCAATGGATACAGGGAAGTTTGGATGATATAGCTGGAGAATGTGGAGGGTTTTTCTTGTCTTGTAAGTCCTATTACCTTATAAAATAGGAAATAACATACAATTATAGAAACTGAGCAGGGTGGTGAATAGTTTGTCTATATTCAAGATCTGAAGTCATGTAAACATTGGGGCATTGTAAAAAGTGGGAAGATCTTCCCACATGCAGAGCAACGGTCAATCTAATGGCTGCCAGAAAAAAAATGAAATTGAAACTATGCACATGTGCACACATGTGTTTAATTAACATGCTTCATTCCCTTTTGCACCCACTCAAAATGGATATTTTCAAGAAGAAATGTTTTCAATTCAGCAATAAGTACTGATGATGTATTAAAAACAACCCCAGTGACTCAGGAGGCTAAGACAGGAGGATTCCAAGTTCTAGGCTAGTCTCTGCAGTTCAGCAAGACCCTGTCCAAAATTTAAAAATAGTAATAATAATAATAATAATAATAATAATAATAATAATAATAATAATATATTATTGAATGTAGTTCAGTGGTAAAGAATCCCTTGGTTCAATCTCCAGTGTGAAAAAAAAGAAAAAGTAAAGAATCAATGCATTTTACCCTTCAAGAGGGACTGATTCAGATGGCAGGAAAAGGATAAAAATAATCCTTAAGACCTGTTTCTTATTTAATCTCTAAGGCAGCTCAGTTTAGTCAGCAAGGCAGAAAGCTAATCTCCTCGAAGATCAGAACCTGAACTACTCTATAAACCAGCCAGCAGGGGCACCTGCACATCCATGTCCATATCATTCCCTCATCAGAAAATTGCCAAGTGGAATTCTCTGATGCATGACGTGGTACATTGTAAATACACTCTGGTAACTTTCATTCATTGTTTAATGGAGCCTGACTGGATGGAAAGGTGAAGAAAGATAAGGATGAATGCAAGTTGATGTGCTCTGTCCTCTGACATCCTCTGTTGCTCGGGATGGACTTCTCTACAACAGTCTCTCTCAGAAACTCTTTTTATGGTTCCTGTATCAATTTGCATTCTTTATTGCAGTTGTTCTAAATATTAACTCTTTTATTTCAAGACTCTAATTTACCCTGTCCCTTTTTAGCAAATACCATTTGTACTGCCACTTTCCTTTCCCTAGGTTATTCAATTGCTCATACAATGCCTATTAATTTAACTCAAAATATTACTGTTGTGATTTATGTCAAGGAAGTACTAAGAGATACAACCTTTACTGTGGAAACAAAAGTAAATCTTGATCTTACCATTTATATCTATGACTTCATCTATTTCTTTGAAACTTCACTTATTTTAAAAATGTACTAGGTGATTCTGAAAAATAGATAAAATAAGGTGAAAGGATGGTCTAAGCTACGTCTGACTCATAATCATTCTACTATCTCAGCATCTCCTTTACTATCTCTCTCATTCTCTATTTAAAAGGGAAGTTTTTTCTCCCGAACTTGAAGTTCTCTGTCCCAGGTTCCACAGTCACTGGCATTACAGTGTGTGCCAGTTGTCTGATTAACATTAATCTTGTTGTGTGTGAAGTGGGGAAGGGACTGGGGGCTGAACCCAGGGCTCCCCTGCTTGCTAGACAGGTTCCCTAACCCTGACTCATATTCCCAGCCCAAAGCACATTTGCTTACACTTTCCCTGCCACTCCATTTGGTCCTTTAGTTGGCCTTTCTATTCCATGTCATCAACCACCTGGACGCACAGGAAGAAGAAAATCCCCTCTGTCTGTTGAATCACATATGCTTGCTTTCCTCATGTTTCTGTTAATCTATTTCCCCTTCCTTTTTGGGAAGCAGCAGGTTCCTTTATGCTTCACAGTTCAAGTTAAATACTGTTTGTGTAAGGCGTATATCCAGGTGTATTTCTGTCAGGAATCTCCTTTGAACCCTCTTTTTTGTTTCATGTATCATAGTATGCATTACCATAATTTTTCACTGTACACAAAATGAAATTCCATATCCACAGCAAAGATTTTGCTTCTGATAGAATAAGACATTTTGTCATTAATTCACTCTAAATTACCTGTACTGAAAATGCATTCTTGCCTATAACAGATGTTAAAAATTGCTAAAGCCATGTACTGTGTATTTTTTAAAAGTTATAATATATTGTGTAAAAGACTATTATATCATTTCATTTTACAAATAATTTGAGATTAACCATAAGAGTAAACAAATGTTAGAAATATTTTTTTTTAATTTAAATGAAAAATAACTATGGGTAAATGGAAGAAAGATCAATAGAGGAAAGGGAACTAGAGATGGGAGAGGGAATGGGAAGGAGATGTGTTGCAGTCTGCATTAAACAAGATATATTGCATGCTTGTATAATTATGGCAAAATGGATTCTACTGTCATGTATAACTAAAAAGAACCATAAAATTTGAATAATTTCTAAGGGAAAAGCATGAAATATGTTCAACTATACCCATAATAGACTATCCCAAATACCAATTTTTTTTTGTCTTCAGATTTTGATTATTGAGATTTTCATTGTTATTTCCTTGTTTGCTTTGAGTTCCAAAAAAGGATCAGGCTCTTCTTTGCTATTGGTTTTAAAAACTGTTGGACTGTGAACAAGGAGCAAAAATTAAGGCATCCTACCAACTGGATGTATAGATTTCTAATTCGAATGCACTGTAAAATAGGAACATTTATTAGAGAATTTACTATTGAAAAAGTTTTTCAGGCTTATTTTTTATATTTTTAAATTCTAACATTTGAAATGTTATTCTGTATTATGGTTTGGGTGTGAAGTTTTCCCCAAAAGCTCCTGTGTGAGACAATTAATGAAGGTTTAGAGGAGAAATGAGTGGAT